CTTAAGGCGCGAGAAAGATTAGTCGCAATTTATTGTTAGACAGCCTTTATCGCTAAGGGAAGCTGTGAAAAAGCAATCAGCGAAATTACGATTTTTTTTTTGCGTGTGTGTGCCGTGGTGTTTACACACTCCTGAACACACACGACCACACACTTGAAGGCGCATGAACATGTCGGCAAGATGCGTGAGGTTATCTAAATTCGTTTGATGTCTTCCACGACAAAGACATGTAGAATGAAAAAAAAAAAATACTAAGAAAAATACTTTGACATCAAAAAATAAATGGCGCTCGAAAAGAGGTGCACATTGCGTCTTAAAAAAGGGTTAATGGTGCTTTCTTTATTGCTTTGTTGATCTAGAAATACAGTGACTCTACATAAAGTCATTAAAGGCGTAGAGAAAGACATCGTTACATACATTGCGCGTACTCTTAACAAAAACACGACATCGACGCTTTTTTTTTTTTTAAATTTTATTTTGATATGCAATCAGGCACCAAATTTTACCTTTAGATGAGTTCGCACTCGAAGAACACTTTTCACCACTTTTATAGTTTTGATGATAGCACTCAGATTTTAGGAGAAAAACAGGAAAAACCGGCAATCGCTTGTTTGCAATTAACAGTGTATTGCAGTGTTCATATACGTTAAAAAAAAAGAACAGTGTAACAACAAGAAAATAAGCCCTGCAGAAGGGGAACAAGGAAGACAAAGGACAAACACAAATCTTCGAACACAGCTAGGTGACTGGTGTGCGAACGAAAAAAATTCGTTTGGTCCTGGTATCGAACCAGGTACCTTTCCATTTCCCGTGGAGCGCTCTACCAACCGAGCTAACCAGGAGTGGGACGCCAGTGCAGCAGACGGGTTATGTCAGCTGCTACCAGTCTAAAACCAACAAGAATGAACGGCTTGCATTTTTAAGGCTATCTTGATAATGCAATTAAATGCAAAGGTTCAAGCGAGCTGGATAAGAATTGCGAAAATAATCCCTTGAGAAGGGGAGCAATGGGGACAAAGGACAAACATATATCTCCAAACACAGTTAGATGACTGGTACGCGTTAGAAAAAAATCCGCTTGGTCCTGGTATCGAACCAGAAACCTCTCCGTTTCCAGTGGAGAGCCGTTTACCCTTGTTGGTGTTAGTCTGGTGGCAGCTGATAAAACCCGTTTGGATCTATTGACGTTTGACTCTTGGATAGCTCAGTTGGTAGAGCGCTCCACTAGAAATGGAGAGGTACCTGGTTCGATACCAGGACCAGGCGAATTTTGTCGGTCGCGCACCAGTCGCCTAGTTGTGTTTGGAGAGATATGTTTGTCCTTTGTCCTTCTTGTTCCTCTTCTCCAAGGATTGGTTTCGTCATTCTTATCCAGCTCGCTTGCACCTTTGCATTAAATTGCATTATCAGCGTAAGAACATGCCCGGTTTATCATTTCCAAAATGAAATATAAAATTGGTAATATTTTATTGCCAATATTATCCCGTAACTCTGACCTTCTTTATTCTATACACAATCTAACAAGACAGCTAGTCTGCCCCCGCTATGAGCGAGTAACTATACTCCGTCTCACTGAAACCGTGCAGTAGAGCCGAAGCTACAGGGGAGAGTTTATCTCGACCTGTTGAAGAGGAGGGAAAGGAGGAATGGGGGAATCCCACCCCTTCTCTCTCGTTCCTCCTTTCCCTTCTGTTGAACAGGTCGGCGTTCGCCCTCTCTCCGGTAGCTTTGGCCGTACTGCACGGTTTTAGTGAGACGGAGTGTAGGCTTCTCGCCTCTGCCTTTCTGTTTACACAGATGCACCCGTCGTAACCTCAGCCAGTATTCCGAATTTGCCGGTCTCGTAGGAATGGGAAAGAAAACTAATATTTGAAATTGACATATCAACGTACGCCTCCCAGTCTTCAGCGACAGGGGTATTCATTTTGCCTGTTCACCTACTTGCCCGCTTCTTCGTTGTTAATTGGTCATTCAACCCACTTCCCCCCCCCCCCCTTTCCCCCCAAAAAACACGAAACATTTAAAACGTGGAACTGCGTGTGAGCTAAAGCGTGTGCTGAAGACACTACATCTTTCGCTCAAGCTCTCATCCACTCACCGTTTTCTCCCATCTAAAGAGCAACACACACACACACGCACACACAAACACACACACAAGTCGTACGAACTAGCACCGTCGCGCATCATACTCAGTGATGGCAGACTGTCAGCGAGAAGAAAAAACAAAATAAAAACTCATCCGTCTTTTTTTTTCTTTCCTCCACGCCGTAAGAAATGACAGTCACGAACACGAGTCACGCGATTCTCAGATAAATCGACCTGGAGCATACGTATCGGAGTCGCCTTCAACGCTAAGAGACAGCCACGGCGACGGGGACGGGCGCCGCTCATTTTTCAGGGAGCGGATGGAATCGCTCGCACCGCCGTCCTCCTCACGAAGAGATTACGGGCCTCTTTTCTGGTGCAGGATGCGCCGAGACAGCTTCGGATGCGGCGCTGGGTTTCTGTCTCTCTCGTGTCTCCTTTTCACGGTCTTGTCGGCAGGAGCCGGCGTTTTGCATGAGCCACGCCCCCTCCCCGGGGAGCCACGCTACTTGTCTCTCAATGCACCCGTTCGTCTGTTTGTGTCTGTCTCTCATCCTGAGTGCTGAAAACGAGCAGAGATCGTCCGAAGAGCGACGAGCTGAGACAGCTCGAGCGCTTGAGCTGGTAACGCCCCCCCCCCCCCCCCACCTCCCCTCCCACTTCCCCTCTCCCGGCCCCTACATCCCACCGCCCACTCTGTTGTTAGATGACACAATATGTTTTCTGTGCTTTCAGGCACCTTCAGTTGCGGCTGTTCTAGCATGCGTGGTTGTGCGTGCGTGCGTACGCGGGAGCGTTGCTACCTACTTGCAGGCATATAGGCTTTGCATGAGAGATAAAGAGAGAGAGAGAGAGGGGGGGGGAGGGGATCTATTAAAGGTGATGTATTTAAGGGTGCGGGATCCTGTCGGCTTTCATCTTTAGTTCGTAGCATCTTATAAAGCTAACAGCACGATCCAATAAAAATCGATTGAGGCTAGCCGCGAAAGGACGAAAGACACCGAGCCTCCGTGCGCTGCGTTTCTTGCGCTTTTGTCGGTGAGCGCAGTGATGCTCAACATTGCCTGCACGTAGGCTGTCCCTCAATGCTTTCGGAAATCCAATCATCGGTGATAAGGGCGATCGATATCATGCTCCGGTGGCCGTGCGCGGTCTCTTTGCGACCGCACGCCTATTAGCCCCTTATCGTTCGCCCCTTTTATTGGCTGAACATACGAGCTATTCCATCATTCGCCATTTCCGCGTAGCCGTATTTGTCGTTTGGGCTGTAGCAGAACTTTTAAGCGTGCGCAGTCGCTATCTTCTGCGGAGTATCAGAGGTCGAATCGGGCGTCCACAGCCCAGTCACTCGGCATTTTTCGCCCGGGTGATGAGCGATGGAGAGGTGCGTACTAGGGGCGTCCGAATAATGGTTCGAAGCGAATTGCGCTGCATCACTCATAGCCTTCACAGTGCGAAGGAAGGCCACGCTACGTAGTACCGGCCCTATTTACAGTGTTGAAGTTAGGGATGAGGCTGCGCTATTCGATTGTTAGTGATATTGCCACACCCCAGGTGTATACAAATACCGAGTCCATCGCGGTGCACTGTACATGCAAAAGAAAACGTCTCCATCTTGTCCTGCGCCTTTTTCTTCAACTTCAAAGTTAGCTATTTTTACACTCACCACAATCTCGGGAGGTAAACGTGAGGATTAACTATCACCAGTTCGCCTGCTCACACTCACTGACTTTTCATTAGTCAAATAATATTTTTCATCCCCTGTTGATTGCTGCTTTCAAGTGGGGTGCCGTATGCTTTCGAGCTGTTGGTTAGCACAAGGGGAAAATAAACATTGATTGATTGATTGATTGATTTTATCCTGACACAAAGCTGGTTAAGTTTATCATAAGGTTGTCTGGAATACGAATGAAGGTGCTTTATGTTGGAACTTCCCAAATTGACTTTTTTTTTTTTTTGTGATTCAAATTACCTCTGATTCTCGTTTATGGATTAAACATGAATAAGACTATCCCAATCTGGATTCACTAAGCGCTAATTTACATTAAAAACACGAGATTAAAGGTGGTCGCTATCTTTATTCTGGAACATTCCGGAATTCAGTAACTTAATTTTAAAAATTCAACCAGACTGGCTTAAGACTGCGAGTTATAGCTAGTTGGTTTTGATTCATACTGAGGTTTCACGCGAAAAAATCTCTGAAACAAAAAGAAGTGATCCTGTGTGGCCTATCGCCGTTTGTCACTGAATATATTTTTATGCAAGATCCTAACATACATTTCAATAAAATTCCCGTTTTGTCTTTCACTTTTTGTCCCAGTGTTTCGGCGTAAAACTTTAGATTAGTTTCTCCGCATACCTCGCGTGTAATGCGGAGAAGACGAGCCTGCTTCAGTGAGACGTGCACCGTGTTTACAATAAAATATTAAAATTGTTAAATTGTTTTCCCCTACTGTAGCGGAAAAAAATATCTATCTAGTTTCATCTCTTAAACTATATAATCGTCTGCCGCCCAAGAGTGTCGCTACTTCGTAAACGTCACAGTCGCTTTAAGCCGCAATCCCACTGCTAATACATCATAAAAAAAAGACAGAATTGCAGACGCTGTCTATTGGCGTGTTTCTTCCTTGACTGTTGTTTCACATCGGTCGTGCAAACACTGGGCTACAGACATCTTCGAAGCATGTAGGAAGCGCTTCAAACATGCTGGAAGCGTGTCCTCAGACCGTTCTTGATTGATTCATAGACTGATTGATTGATTCTGTTATCATGTCTTCAGCAAACACCGTGTCTTTTGTATGAGGTACGAGCAGTCGGACTGCGGCTTTAAAAGCAGCTAACGCCGTCTAAGAGTGCCGCTACTTTGTAAGATTCATGGAGTACGCCTTTAATGTGGCCACCTTGTGCTTGGGCAGGTTGCGGCCGAACCCTGCTGGAGCCCAACGGCCTGGTGTCGTCCCCGGAGCTGGTGAACAGTGTGACGCCTCCCGCCGAGGGCGAGCACTGCGAGTGGCGCATCACGGCCACGCACGGGGAGCGCATCGTACTCAACGTCACTGAGCTGGACATCTACGAGTCGGACAACTGCGAGACCGACTACATCGAGGTCCGGGACGGCTACTGGCACAAGTCCCCCCTCCTCGGTGAGTGAGTGGTGCACTCCACACAGTCATTTGTACTGGAAGGGTTCGTTATACGGAAGACTTCGTTATGCCGGAAAAGTTCGTTATATACTGCAAGAGGTTTCTTATACTGGAAGAATTTGTTATTTGTCAGAGGTTCTTGAACGTTAACAGTTTTTTTTATTATTTTTAAGAGTTTTGTTAGATTGTAACAGTTTGTTTTAATTGGAGAGTTTTGTTATACTTCAAAGAGTTTATTGCATAAGTGTTTGCTATACTTTAAGAGTTTGTTATAACGAAAGTGTTTTTTACGCTGTAAAAGTTTGTTTTTACTGAGAGTTAGTTATATGCTGGATGGCTCTATTATACTGGAAGTGTTCGTTACACTGGAAGAGGTCGTTCAAACTGGAAGAGTGGGTTGTGCAGGAAAAGAATTTTGCACTAAAAAAGTTTGTTATATGTAATATGAAAGTTCGTTATGCGTAAGAGAAGATACCGGCTGTCTAACAACCCCAGCTGGGTTGTCTGGCAAGCTGTAAATAGTACATTCCTTCCGCCACCTTGTGTTTTTGACGTATAACAAACCATTACCGTATCTCGATAAGATACGCTATATTGTAGGATAGCGAATTCGCTTTGCTCCATCTGTCCACAAGCTCCGCCCATCGACCATGTTCTATCTGTGGTTTTGTAAGTCCGGGCATTTGGAGAGCCTATCACTGTGATCTGAGCTCGGCGGATGATACGGTCGGAAGTATGTTTAAGAATTAAAAAAAGTTGCGATGTGAGACGTGAAACGTCATGTGTCAAATTACAGACTTCATTTCCCTTCGTTCATCGCAGTAATTGATTTTCCGTGTGCTCTGCGGGAAAGCAGACGCACAGATATGCTTCAGAAGGAACGCCCTGTGAAGTCAACGACGGTATACTACACGACTATCCACTCAAAACATCACTTATTGGTGTCATATACTCCCTAACGGCCTTGCATGGGTGCAAGAGGCATGGCTGGAAGAGCGTGGCTCTGTATTGGTGCACTCCTTCTGAGCCCGCGCATTAGTACTATAAGGAGGTCCCTTTTAAATATCCAAGCACTCGCGGCTGTCTTTTGTACAATGCTACACATCACTTTAGGAAGACACGTAGGGTCGGTCTGTCTTTACAACCCAATTGAAGCGTTACGGAAAAAAATGATATACCAGCTGCGGTCCTCCAACATCAAAATCTTAGTTGCGCAAGTGTAACCAACACGTGAAAACGGACGCTATACACTTTCCGGGCTGCTTTTTTTGTTTCCCCATTTGCCACACCCTAGCGTTCCTGCAGCAGTGCACCTCCACATTACACGGTGTCGCGCAATGCCTCCGAACTCGGCGCATGCCTACTCATCGATCAGCGCTGAAGGGAATGACGAGACCTGGAACAAATCCGCAGGAGAGACACCAAAGAAGCAACGTAGCTCCTTGAAACACCCATCTGCTTCAGACACCATTCGAAGGCGGTCGGAGGGAAATATCCGGTTCCGAGAAAGTTCCAACTTGCTCGATACGCTGCCAGTGTTACCACGAGGTGGACCAGTGCCAGGGCTATACGACAACCCACAAGTCAGGGTCGCCAACACGCTACTTCCCTGCTTGGGTCAAGAGACCATTCACGTGCCTTACATGTGGCACGTGAATGTACCATTCGAGTTGGCGGAACCAGTATTTCGTTGTGAACGAGCCATTGTATAGTTCTTTATTCAGTGGCTAGCAGAGCGTTAGTGGCTTCGCTTTATCTCAGAACAAAAGTAGACTTTTATGTGAGGAAGAAAATCCACGGTGCGTACGTGTGCTGGTGGGCCCCTTTTTCGTCGGCTCTCGAAAGGGGTAAAAGTGCGATTTTTTTTGTCTTGGGACGAAGTTAAGCGAGCATATATTGGCGCGACTGCGAAAAACCGTTCGTTAATGGTCCTCGGAAGAGTCCCGGGAGGCCTAAGATGGCTGAGTCGAGCAGACCCAAAAGCCGGGCGTCTGCTCACACGTCGAAGGACTTTATGATCGATTGTTCCCAGAGTTTCTATCGAGTTTTGTTTGATCGATGGACGGATCGTTTTCTTGCTTACACGCGCGTCAAGTGTTCCCCGCGAACTGTCGGCGGCGCCTTGGAGAGCCGTCCTCTTATTTTGGCGGGGGCAAACGGCGGAACCAAGTTCGTAAGCATCCAATCTTTCCCGGGTTCGGGTACTTACCACAGCGAATCCCGTGTGGCGTTAACGAGAGAAAAAAATAACGAAGACTGTCTTGGATATGGTCGTACAAACTGTACTATACGCAGCGCGCGGTTTTCTTTGATTTCGTTCGCTTTATTCGCGGAACCGGGTTTATTTACGTTAGCGGACAAACAAGGAAAGGCGGCCAGAATCCATTTCCAAATAACACGAACTGAACGAGTACAAAAATCAGCAAAAGGGCGAGAGGGGAGAGCCGATTGCAAAGTAGAAACGTTAATGGAGGACTTTGCCAAACAGGTCTCTTTCATTAGGGAGATTGTGGCGCGGGGTGCGATGCCGCTTGGCACCTGCTGCGGTCGAGGTTTGTTCACAGACTTCTTCCAAGTTCTGTCCTATTTCGTTCGGCATTTGTTTATTGTTTGCTCGACGTACAAGCTGTCGGAGTTTCTGAAGATAGGAAGAAGAACAACAACAACGGTAGCAGTTAGCGATTATACGCCGAGAAGACGAGAATCCAATGTGGATGGTAATACGGAGAGCCGGGGATCCGTCAGTCTGCCAACCGACCGCTCTCGAAACACTCCCATAACGGCTCTCGTAACAACAACAACGGCGTCAAAAAAAGAAAAAAAGAAAATGGAAATGACGCGACAAAGAAGAACAAAAAATAAAGAGACGAAATGAAGTACTACATCAAGGAGCCCGTCGCGGATTTGAAACCGCTGTTTGGTGGTCTCGGCACCGCACGCCTCGTTAAGCAGAAGCGAATTGTCGTATACCAACAACACCAAACTCCCAGCGTCTTGATCATTCCACAAAACCAGACGTCGTCTCGAGAAGTAGAAAATACAAGAAAGAAAAAAAAAAGAAAAACACAACGATCAATGTTTACGGCGTTGCAGTCGTGTTCTTCCGCTTCGAAGAGTGTCTTTGTGTGTCGCGGTCCCGACAAAAGAGTTTTCGTGGTGACGCCCACAAAACACCGACAGCAAAAAAAAAAAAAAAAAAAAAAAAAAAGGAATTTAGAAACACCTCGCGGTTCGAATCCTTTCGCGACTATCGCCGACACGCTCTGTGTTTACGTGCGGTGCTCGCTGTTTTCTTCCCTTGGTTGGCCTCGTTCTCTCTGCGAAAGCAAAACGAGACGTGCGTTGTTGTTCTAGAATGAGGAAGGCCGGACGCTGCGAAGGACGCCGAATGAAACTGAAGCCAAACGAATTTCTAGTTGTTCCTAGACGAACAAATAATAAGCCGTATCTCTAGAAATCCGAAACGAAAAATCAAGCCGCCGGCATATCAACGTGCGTTTGTGACCTCATACCATGATGCTGGCAGAGTACTGACGCTACTGGGGCTAGCGAAACTGGTGAGTGTCAAGAATAACTCGATAAAGGACGGCGAAACTGTACTGAATTCGAAAACTATGCTCCCGACAAAATATTGAAAACCGTTCCGCGATAAAGATTACATGTCTGTAATCGAATCGCTTGCTTTTGCTTCAGTGGCCGCACGGCGGCTTCGGCTACCACTCAGACTGGGACTTCGTCATTGGCTTCGGCATCGGCATTGGATTCGGCTTCGGCATGCGTCTAGCCCTTTTCTGCCGCTGCGTGAAAACTGCTAGCAGGCCGGTGACTGTGTACACAAACACTTCGGGATTCTTGAGTTGTTTCAATCGTTCGTGTCTTTTCCCGCTGCTTCTTTTATTTTTGTTTTCGTTTTCATATTTTTGTTGTTTGTTTGTGTGTTCTAGGAGCGGGCACGATGTTTGTGTTCCTGTCGGGCTTCATTCCGGTCCCAGCTCTGTATTCAAGAGGAGCCCTTGTCGGGGGTTCCTCCATTGCAGGTTGGGGTATCGGGTTTTCCAGAAACGGCCAGCTCGAGTTTCCTTTCCTGTCCCGTGCTCTTCCGAGTGAAGTGCAGCTCCTCACGCTTCTTTTTTTCTTTTTTTTTTTTTTCTTTTTACTCTTGCTCTTCTTTTTCTGCCTTCCCTCATTGTCTCCTTTCTTTCTATCCCGATAAACCCCCCCCCCCCCCCCCCAATCCTCTTCGTCGATTACTTTACTTTTCCCACACACTGTCTTTCTCTCTCTCTCTCTTTCTCCAAACTACTGTGGTAGAAATTGTGACGTCACAAAACATAGCTCTTCGCCACCTGAAAATAACGCTAAGCGCGCTGCCCGCTCGAAAGATTGTATTAAACCTTTGAATAGTAGCTCCACCAGTACGTATTCAGAGGTCGGAGGTATTCCTTAAAATAATATTACGACGTTTCGAGCGCGGATGGCAAGAGGTGGCGAAGAGCAACCTTTCGTGAAGGCACACCTTTCATCATCGTGGTTTGCACTCTTAGACACCGTATCTTAGACACCGTATCGTATTTACTCCTTTTTTCTAAAAAAGAGGATAGAGAAAGAGAGAGAGAGAGAGAGAGAAATAAAGATAGCAGAGCAAAGCGCAAAAAAGAAAGAATCCCAGCCCATAGGAATATATATATATGCTTCTTCCTTACGACAACGGCATTTCATATTTTTGCATAAGTGAATATTCTTCGGTCTGCTTTAGGTATCACAACATTTTATGGTGTAAAACGTCAACTCCACTACAACGGAATGCTAATAAATATAAGACAGACAAATCAACAGACGCGCGCGAGCTCTCTCTCTCACGCGCACACACGCGCGCGCACGCGCCAGTTTAGAGTACATATTTACACACAAGCGAGCTTTCTCTCTCTGTCTGTCTGGCTCTGTCTCTATACCTGTTTGTAGTTCGATCTCTCTACGTCTCTCGATGTCTTCCTCTCTTC